GCACTCAAGTAACATTTAAGCATGTGAAATTTCTAATATGTTCATTTATCTCCTATCTATATTAATTCAAGTAGCTAGTGTGATGTTATACATCTTGCATTCTTAACCCTCAGAGATTGGCCCTCTACCTCTGTAAAGGTCTCCTGAGGCAAGCCCAAACAATTCCATGTGAGTGTTTGGGGCAGCATCTCCAACCTAAATTTTCGGCCCATATAAAAGGTTTGGTTTTGCAAAAGGATGGTTCTGTCAAAGCAAGTTGGGCGAGCCAAAGCGGAGCAGAACCCCACTACAGAAGAAACTTTGCTTGGTTCACAACRATGAAGGTGTTGGGGAGATTTATTTGGGGGGTCCAAGGGTGGGGTTCCCAGCTGAGATGCTATGCAAAATTGATCCACCTTCAGATATGTGTTGCTTCTTTAATGGAAACATTGCTACTTGAGATCCTATTTGCAAGAACTAAGGCTTTAGGTATTTGAAAATCTTTTGTTTTTGCTTTGTTTTTAAAAGTTAATATTATCATTACTAGTTTGTGAAATCTGAGGGAGAAATTGACCTGCAAAAGGAGAGGAAAAGAGATACAGAAGATAAGAGAGCAACGAATTGAAAGTTGAGGAAAAATCCAATGAGCGTGGCAGCTGCCCACTCATATTATTTTATTTGGGTGACATAATAAAGATGAAAAGTACTAAACTACTCCTATGTCAACAAGTGAACTGTGAACATATTATAATACTCCCATTCATGTTGAATCATAGATGTCAGCCATTTCCAACTTGTTACATAACCCATTATGACGCAGAGTATTCACACCCTTAGTAAGTACATCAGATAGTTGATCTTTAAAAATGTCAGCCATTTCCAACTTGCATCACCTGACTAGAAGAATTTTTTCTCTACATAGAATTGCATAAAAATCGTATGATGAATGTACTGAATAACATTTTACTCTGGATCAAAGCGGATAAATCTGTGTGTATTGAGAGTAGTCATCAATAAAGCTAATAAAATACTGATAACCCCCTTTAGTTTCAATGGAAGCAAGGCTTCAAACATCAAAATGAACAATTTTAAAAGGAGAAGAAACTCTTATTATTTTGTGAAAAAGTGATTCTACAATGCTTACTCAATTGACAAGTTTGACACTAAAGAGATGACATAATGACTAACTTAAACAACCTACAAACAAAACCTTTAAGGACTCAAACGACAAATGGCCAAGACAATGAATGACAAAACATAAATATCATCTTTATCACAAGGATTCATTGATTGATTGACAAACCCAACTGACTTTGGTGCCTTTGGACCATCTCCACTCTCCAGTATATAAAAGACCATCAACCATGTGCCCTTTACCAATCATCCTCCCGGAGATCAAATCTTGAAAAACACACGAATGAGGATAGAAAGTTACTAAACAATTCAAAGATTTTGGAATGCTGGTAATGGATAGGAGGTTAATAGGCAATTTAGAGACATGAAGAAAAGGTGACAAGTTTATCCCCATGGGAAGGGACAGATCCATGACCAACTATGGTGGAGGAGCCATCAACTAACCTCACTGCCTCTCCCAAATAACTAATAATAAGAGGAAAACAAGTTGGGCTTACCAATCATATGATTTTAGGCCCCTTGAGTCAATAATCTAGGGAGTCTTAGTGGAAAGAGATGACACATGGAAAGCAACCTGGTTACCTAATGTAGATACAAGTAGTTGGATAGAATGATAGTGGACTTCTCTAAATAGTGCAAAACCCTACCATACTGCTCAAGATGATCTTTGATAGCAGAAAAATCCCTAATGATAGAAAGAAGCTCCTCTTGAGATACAAAACCAACTGAGTGCTCATGAGAAATAGCTAGAGTAATAGAACCGGACTCAAAACTCCTGAGAAATGGCATTGGCAGAATTGTTTTTGTTTTATCGGCTTATTTTGGAATTGGAGCTTGGGTTTCCCAATCAGAACCCAACATGTCTCCTTGGCATCTCTAGCTCTATGATGATGTGCACACCGCAATTTATTTTTATGAACTACATCATTCCTCATATGAAGGGTGGAGGCCAAGAAGGAAAACAAACACTTGGCTTATTAACAAGAGCCTTGTAGGCTTTAGCATCTTCATCACTCTCCCAATCAGTTCGTTGATAATAATCTGATTAGAGGAAGAGTGTAGTAGTAGGAATTAACATGGAAGAAGAGAAAGTCCTTAGAAGTGCTGAAATTTTGGGTTGTGAGGTTAGGAGCTGGCTTGTAGTCTACCTAGGAGTGCCACTAAGAGAAAACCCAAGATCGGATGTTTTTTGGAAGCTGGTGATGGAGAGGTTTTGGCCTTATGGAAAAGAAATTACATATCTTTGGGAGACAGAATAACTTTGATCAAAGCAACATTGGCGAATTTTCCTATTTATTTCCTATCTACCTTTTGTATTCTGACTAGGATTGTAAAGCAGTTAGAGAAATACATGAGGGATTTCCTATGGGAACCGGGAGAAGGAAAGAAGGATCACCTTCTTAAATGGAAACAAGTTATCAAACCTAAGGAGAAAGGGGGACTAGGGATAGAGAATATTGTTCTTAGGAATACTGCACTACTAGACAAATGGTTGTGGAGATTCCCCTTTGAAAGAGATAGGCTTTGGAACAAGGTAATTGAGAGCATTCATGGGTTGGAAACTGTTGAGTTTGGGCCGATTTTAAGTTATTGGGTCCAGCTTTGCTTTTATTTTTATTTAAGGTATTCAGTTAGGAAGTTATTGGTCCTTAGGCCCATTAGTTTATGTTAAGTTTAAGTTGTGACTGTTCATCTACTTAAAGTAGCCGACCTACTAAGGGTTTCATTGTACTTTTCATTCTTTTTAAAAAGTATATAAATCAAAGAGGGTTGGTGGCCAAATCTATTCAATTTTGGCGACATCCCACTCTCTTCTCTTCTTCTCTTCTTTCTCCTGTTGAAACTCTTCATCTTCTTCTTTTCTTCACAAAGATCACACTAAAACAACTTTCAGCAACTTCTACTTGGTATCAAAGCAGGCCGAAGGTTTCTTGAGCTGCTCCATCGTGCAGCCCTAGATCAACCGACTGCATGGTGATGTGAGAGGCTGATCAAAGACCTTTGGTAAGCCCAGCTTTTGGATTTTTTGGTGGATCTATTTTGCCCTGTAGCTGGTCTAGGGTTTCCCATTAAATTCAGGAAGAACTGGAGAAAAGGGGAAAGTCTTGTTTTTGTAGGACTCTTCAATTTTGACCTAGGAAGTGGCGCCCTAGTTTTTTAGGGTTTCTTGGAGTTTTCTGAAGGGGGCGGTTCAAGTCCCACCTGTTTTGGAGGGCCTTTGGAGGGAGCGACTACTTCTCTCTCTTCTCCAGCACCCACGGAAAAGGAATTTGTTGTGGGAGGAGCATCTAGGGTACCAGAAGGGTGTCTGTGGTGCCTGAAGGAAATTATTTCATATTTATTCATCTTAAAGTGATTTTCTAACCCTCTTTTGGGCATAATGGAGGGTCACGAAGTTGAAAACAAACTGGAGAGTGAAATGGGACAAGGGGGAGGAGGTATCGGAGACCTTTTCAGGGCTAGGACCATCACTACAGTTAAGTTAGATGGTGCAAACTATTTAGAATGGTCACAATCAGCAAAGGTAGCCATTGGTGCTCGTGGGAAGTTGGGGTATATCATTGGTGAGGAAGTGAAACCCAAGACTAACAATTCTCTGTGGGTATAGGAAAATTATATGGTAATGACTTGGTTGTGCAATTCTATGCTGCCCCATATAAGTAAAGCTTTTTGTGGGCAAATACAACTAAGGAAATTTGGGATGGGGTTGCAGAAACCTATTCACAGAGTGAAAATGTTGCTAGGGCCTACTAGTTGAGAAACCATAATATATATATATATATATATATCTATATAAATATATTTTGCAAAACAAATTTCAACGATTGAAATCAACTACCGTCAGTTTATGTTTCCATCAGAGAGAGTGCATCCCCGATCATTCACTTTGTCCGACAAAGGGGTTGATCCTATCACTTTGATCATCCACTCAGATGAATTCTTGAATTGTCCCAACATACCCAGGTTTTGACCCCCTCTAAGGATCTCATTGATTGGCATATCAAAGACAGACCAATCCGACACCTAGTGTAGTATCATAATCGAGTCTAGGGGTCAAGTGTAACATTCCAGTTTTGCCCATCTATCTCCAAGGTC